CATTTGCAATGTGCTTTCCATCCCCCTTCTTACTTACAGGGCTGTGCACACAAAGGAGCAGGAAAGCAATCCCACTGGAGCTGCCCAAGATTCACTTTGACACAGAACAGAGGTGCCCTAAGAGAAAGGAAGCTGCTTAGTGATCCGTGTATAACAAACCATGATGGGAATGTTACAAGCCTAGAGACCCTGGAGAGAGGGCTGGGAGGAAATCTGCAGAGAGCAGCTTCTTCTGCAGAGATCCCACTCCAGAGTTAGAGTGACTGGAAGGAGCGAGTCAATCTGCATGGGGAGGCAGCTGCATATAAAAATATACATATACATAAGAAGCTTCTCACTGAAATCCTTAAAGAAAGAGCTCAAATGATTTAGAGAATAAAATGTTCAAAAGTATCTGTTGCAATTTGCACCTAAACCCAGTGTCTGAGGCTCAGGAGCTCAGCCAGGTTACACTGATTGAATATCCCAGCACTGAGACCCTACTAGGAGAGACCATTTTGTGTCACATTTGTGACAGGTACCAAAGCTTGCCTGATGCATGGTCACTCATCAAGCTGCAGGAGTGGGCCACATCTGAGCCTAGAGATTTCTAAAGGCTCTCAGGGTTAAAACAATGTTTAGAGCCTGTGTAAGGTACCTGGAGCTTTTTTTTGAAGACCAACTGTTCCACTTTCTGTTTGTTCAAGACAGTAGTGAGTCTGAAAATGGAAATTAGATACCAAAATAATGAAGACATTTGTAAAAAATCTTACCTTCTGCTATGTAGATTTTTTACTACTACAAGACAGGAAACTGAGAAGCAGAGAAATGAAGCAGCATCACAGGACATGCATTCTGCCAAACATTATTTATGTACTTCAGTACCTCCCTGGCCAACTATAATTACTTTGGAGTTACTTGGGCAGGTCTAACAGATACAGATCTCAGGTTTCCTGTGCCAAAAAGCACGTTGCCATCTGCTAAGAAGGTCATGAAAGACCTTAGTCAAAACCAAAGTTTGGTGAAATCAAACCATCATCAGACCAAAATAATCAGTTTTATTCTAAAAAGTGGAGCCATAATGAGGGAAAGCCCTGGTACAATGTGAATCATCTTTCCTGGAAGAAAATACTTGGAGACTGTTCTTTTCATCCTCCAGGGCAAACTCATCACCAGTGCCTGTTGTTCTTCACCCAGACTAGATGTATCCTCTGACTAAAAAGTACATAAAGAGCTCCCTCACACACTCAGGAGCCACAGCCCTACAAATAAAAAGTCCAGTGTGTATTATTAATGACAAATTATCAGAGCATCTAGGACTCCAGCCAGACAGGAGCTTCACTGTGCTGTGTGATTCTGTAGAGAAGATGATCCCTTAACAAGGACAGATCCCTCAGCTTCCCTTTTTCTTTTCCCCTCTGTGCAAAGACTTGTGATAAACCACTTTGTCACAGCAGCCAGAAGGCAATTGTCCTGCTCTAAAGGACTTATAACTGAGCTTTAGCTAAAAGACAAAGGAAGTCAAGTGAGGAAACACTGGGTAGAGGCACAAAACCCCTTAAATATAAAAAGGGCAAAGTGAATACTATTTCAGTACCAGTCAAATGTTATTAGATGAGCTCAGGAGCACACACATTGGCAGTTGTTAGTGCTGCAGTACAAGCCTCAGCAGTTCAATTTTCTGAGTGGCTACAGCTGTACTACCTTCTAAATCCTTGGGTCCTGATTTATTCATGGCATTAGGGATGCAAAATGCAAGCAGAGGGAAGTAGGCCAACAAGAGAATAGAAACCAGGGACACAGAGCAACCAGTTTCTTCATTCCAGCTGAAAACAGGTTGAAATTATTAACTCTTTCAGAGCAAGCTCTCTCTGGATGGGCAACATAAAAGTGCACAAATAAGTCTGTCCCATCATGAAATTGTGATGAACAGAAACACAAAGCAGACATGGCTTCAGAAGGAGAATTCAGCTTAATTCTAGCTCAAGGCATTTGCATTTTCAGATGCGTAATGCTTAGGCCAAGGTGTCTGGCAGGGGAGGAGTTAATGGCTTTGGTTCTGTGGACCAGACTTTCAGCTGATACAACTCAACATAGATCCATTAAGAAATTAGCACCATCTGCTTATCCCAGACAGGATTCTGGCCCTGGACTTTGAAATCCTATTTAAAGCTACTCAGATTTTTCTAAAGGGAAAGGCCTCCCTTCCTGGAGGCATCCAAGAGGCAACTAGAAAAGCTGCAGGATGTGGTTGAGCTGAAATGAGCACTGCCCTGGCCTGCTTATGGTATCAAAACCCCCTAAATGGAAAGCATGTAGAAGTCCCCCAAGAAGGGAAGCCGGACAGGACTTGGAGCAGATCATCAGCTTTTACTCATGGAGAGACAGGACACAAACCAGCATTCCCTGACATCAGCTGATATGAGGAATTTTGACTTTGAAACAGCATCCTCTAGAAAGAAAAAGCACACTCAGGAGCAGACCCAAGTGACAAGAAAGCATGTGCTTTCTTCCAAGAGGATTGTGTTGAATCTAACCCCCTCAGAGGGAGGTTGCAGGCTTGACCTAAACTTAAATATTCTGGGATGCTGGTTGACAACATGAACGTGAGCCTTAAGTGAACTTCTCACTCTGCACTGTTCCTAGGAAACAGCACCACAAAAGTTGCTTCTGCTGCAGTTTCACAGTCTACATATTTACAGGCACATTTCACAACAGGGAGACACGGGGACTAGAGGAAATTCCCTGACTTGTCACTTACCAGGAACTGGATGGATCTTGACTATCTCCATTTCAGGCCTCAGAGGAGATGCTGCAGTCAGCCAAGTCTTCGAGCATATGCTTGTTGTAACAGAAAATGGTCCACAAAATTTACCATTATGATTAGATAGTAAAGACCAAACAAGGGGAAAGAAAAAAAAAAGGAAGTAGTATAGCAGCACATTCCTCCCTAGAAGGACCATTATTCCATTGAAGTGGAATGTTAGTAAAGTCAGATATTTAAAGGTCCAGATGCGAGGGAAACCTCAAGGGAAAACTAATCTCAGGGATCAATAGCTACACAACATGGAGAGCTTTCTGCTGAGCCTCTGCAGCTCCCTGAGGGAGGCTGTGGTGAGGTAGGTGTTGGGCTCTTCTCCTAAGTAAAAAGGGATAGGACAAGAGGGAAATGCCTCAAGTTGTGCCACGGGTGGTTTAGGTTGGATATGAGGAAATATTTCTTCACTGAAAGGGTCGTCTGGCACTGGAACAGGCTTCCCAGGGAAGTGGGTCATCATCCCAGGATATATTTAAAAGACATGTAGATACAGAGCTGAGGGAGATGGTTTAGTGGTGGCCTTGGCAGTGCTGGGTTAAGGGTTGGACTTGATGACCTTAACAGTCTTTTCCAACCACAATTATTCCACAGCAGTCCTCTGCCAACAAGACAAGCCTTTAAAGGAGAGAATGGGCGATATGTTAGGGCCTCATCTTGAAACACACCCACTTGGAGGAGTTTGTAATTTGTGGAGTTTCCCTCTTGAGAAAATATAATCAGGAGAGTTGAAGATCTGTTTCCCCAGACAGAAATGAGGAAGCAGCACTTAGAGCAGCTGGAATAACACAACCAGATGAGAAAGGGCAATACTTCAGTCTAAGCAATCTCTCTTTCATAGTCTTCAGTGAAGTATTTTTTTATTCTCTGAAGAGAATATATACACACATATAAATATATATACACACATTAACCAGATCATCTACTACTGGAGCTGAGAAGTGTGGTACTCAACCTAGAGCCAACCTAACTGTGAGAGGATGAAGAAAACAAACACATTGTGGCTCTGGAGTCACTCTCAGGACTGATTCCTCTACTGGATCAAAGTACAAGATTCACAATGCAAAATTCAGTATATTCTGTCTCACCTTTCAAGTGGTCACAACTTCATTTTAGAACAGTGAAAAATAAAGGTCACTCCACTTTTTGAGACCTGAGTTCAGCTTTTCCCAACTTCTACTCAGTGTTAAAATGAAGTGACAGGAGAAAATACATTTTGTAGCAGAGTTTCCTCAAAATGGGAGGTTGGAAATGTTTTACAGGATATAAATTATATATATGTACAATATACAACACATACAGAGCTAAAAACACAAGAAGGAAAGCTACCTTTGCACTTTTCAATAGGAAATGGTGAGCTGGTGGCAACATTGTTCAAGAGCTTAACTCATCAATAACCCATCAACTGAGCACCAAATTTTCCAGCTGCATGAGAAGAACGTTTAAGCAATGTTAGTAACAAGTCTCTTTTGGAAGCTTCATCATGAAAATGAAGTTCAGGAAGGTCAGTTTGGTCAGTCTGCTACAAGCCAGTCTATAGAGGGTACAAGAAGGAGCTGGGAAGCTTGTAGTGTTCTAACCCAGCCCACCTGAGCACACTGATTCCCATTACCTGCTGCCCAGGAAGGCAAAGCAGGTCAGGGATCAACATCCCCGGCAAACAAAGCAGCACTGCTCACTGCAGTGCTGAGATGGAAAATGTTTGTTTCTCCAACCAAGCAGATATTCCAGCAGAGAAAAACAAGGCTGAAAAAATGTGTATGGTACGTAACACATGAGCTCAGCAGCTTCAGAGCAGAGAAGTTCA